CTCCTGAAAAGCCTTGTCCTTTAGGGAAGGGACAGGCATTCCTTCCAAACCCATCACTGCTTCCCCAGAGTGCAGAATTCCAGGTTTCTAAATGCTGTCTCTGTTTCTGCAGCCCCAGGACCACCCTTCCCCCCACCCCACCAAAGCAGCCGTGCATGTTGCCACCTCAATTCTTAGTGTGACCTGTCACACAGCAGCAGGGGAACCTACGCTCTGTCCTCAGTGGCCGGGTCTGTCACCTCTGATCCGCCGTGGAAGAGGGGGATGATTCCAAAGCCACAGGAAAGGTGCTGAGAGCTCCCATCCCCTTTCCCAGCCATCATTACCACTTCCACAACAGCAGCAATGCTGGGGTGGTTCAAGGAGGTGTGGAAGTAAACAACCTGGGACAGGAAAGGACAGAGATGAGCTGTTTCAGAGCTGGCAGCGGCAGATGCAGGCAGAGCAATGCCTGTTCTGCTGGGACATTCAGTGGCACAACCAGAACATCCACTAAAACTTCCAGACAGAAGCTAATGGCAAATCACTTCTGACACTGCTACGAAATCTCAGCCCTTAAGTCTCAAGCACCATATTTTTTTAAACTTTTTTTGTTGCCAGAGCAACTCACAGTCTGCAGACCCCAAATGAACAGGGCTTTGATGCCCCCCAGATCTACAGCATTAAAGGAGAAAAAAGGAGTTGGAAACCTTCCTGAAATGGGGAGAGACATGAGAGAAGCCTGGACCTAAGGGCAGGAAAGGACAGGACACAGGTTCACCTCCCCAGGACAGAATTTAACGCTAGGTTCATCCTTCTATTAAAAACTCATTACTGCAGTGTTTCAGGGAAATTGTTTACTGCAATATGGGCTGTCAGGAAGGAATAACAGAGAGAGACATTCCCACATAAACCCTGGGACATAAATCGTTATTCCATTAGCCTTTATTGCAAGGTGCTGGATTAATGACCTGACTGCTGTGCCTGCAGAGCAAGGCTCACCCTGCAAAGGCACAGGGAGCCCTGACAGGGAATGCCCTGTGCCACTGAGCTCGAGGGCCCCTCCTGACTGCACACAGCAACTTCTGTCACTGCATTCCTCTCCCCTAGACCCTGAGGACAAAACCCACCACACAAGCAGACTCTAATCCTGTCCTCACACCTTCCTGCTCTGGTGAGACTGGCTGGAGCAGTGACTTTCCTCCTGACCTCACCTATCACAAATCAATTCCAGCTCCACCTGAACTGTTCCTAGCAATGAGCTGCTGACTTTCCTGCAGTTGAAAGATCTCACCTCGCATGCAGATCACCAAGCCCTGCAGGTAACACAATCCAGCTAACACAGTGAGGCTGCAACACAGTCCCCCAACACCCCAAAATTCCTGCCAACTGCTCCCAACCACACGGCAAACACCCAGGAAGCCTGCAGATGCTGGGAATGTATTTGGAAAGGCAGCTCCTCCCAGCATTCAGCTGTCTCTGCAGCACTCCCTGCCCTAGTTTTAATCCATCCCTCTTCAAAACAGACCAGGCTGGGACAGTACTGAAACACTTGGGAGAGAAATGCACACATCAACGCCCCTCAATGTTGCTGTCAATGTAAAAGAAGGAAGAGCTGAGGGCTGAGCTGTGCTTCACTTCACCTCTGGCACTGAGGAAGTGCAAACAGAGTTGGAAAACCTGGCTCATGCTACGGGGCAGCGGCGCCTCCCCATTCAGGGACACACTGGTTTGCTGGTATCAGCAGCGTATTGAAGGGTGGCTTTGGAATAGTTTAGTTCCCAGATAAGGAGAGAGAAGCGCTGTGCAGGAGGGTGGGCAGCTGCTCCTTCCCTTCCTTCCACTTGTGGGGAAACACTGCTCTCTGCTGCCAGCTCTGAACACGGCAGGTGGCACACGGTGGCACCAGCCTCAGAGGAACCCAGCGCCCCAGTTTCCCCAATAAACCGTACATAAAGCTTCATAAATGGGCAGAGTCTGAAATGCACCCTGGGCAAAAGGCCAGGAAGCACTGGGATGGGAAAGAATTTGGTTCTGTGTTTTCCCAGACCCTTGGCAGCCCCCACCTCGTCGAACGTCGCCCTGGCCGAGCGTGGCGGGGCAGCGCTGGCAGCTCGCCAGCTGCTCCTCCATGTCCTCCCGAAGAAGTGGTGGTAGGTGGCATCGAAAAGGGACAGGCGCAGCTGGTACTGGGCTCCCTGCAAGGCACAACACACCAGCTTTGGGTACAAGCCAGCTCTGCGTCCCCAAAGCTCAGAACACACTTTGGTAAGATATAATTCCCGTTTTCTAAGGGATGCCCAAATCAGGCACATGGCCACAGACAGCTTCATGCATTGCTGCAGCACCTGCCCAAGCCAGAGGCTGACAGAGCAAAGGAAAAGTGGGAAAATCGAGCATTAAGCATATAATTAAAAGGTAATTGATGTTAAAGTGCTATCCAGAAAATTTAATTTAAATATACTTACCTAAGCTAACAAAAAAACAAATGAAAAAATCATTAAATGCTAACTCAGATTTACAGGTAACAAGGCATGGGATTGAAAGAACTTTGCGCTTCTGGGAGATCTCCAGTTAGTTCTCCCCAAAACCAACTTGCTTTAAAAGCTGTCATGGGGAGTTCAGGCCCACACACACTGACAGGAATGCCAAAAGGGGTTTAGAAAAAAGATGGAGAGTTACTTTGTACATACACAGAAAGTGACAGAATAAGGGAGAGAGGGGGCCTAAACTAAAAGAGGAGCAATTTAGGTTTGATCTTATGGAGAAATTCTTCCTTGCTAGCATGGCGAAGCACTGGAACAGTTCATCCAGAGAAGCTGCGGTTACCCCATCCCTGGAAACATTCAAAGTGGGTTGGAAAGGGCAACCTGTTCTAGTGGAAGCTAGCCCTTCCCACGGCAGGAGGGTGGAAGGACATGATCTGTAAGGTCCCTTCCAAGCCGAACTATGTCATGATTCGATGAAGAGTGAGACTCAGCAGAAACAGCGGGCGCAGCAGGCCATTGCCGGGGTCCCCTCGCGGGGCCGATCGCCCCTACCTGGGACAGGGCAGCGCCGTGCAGGTACTTGAGGACGCAGCGGAAGGCGGCGGAGCGCGGCGGCGGCCGGGCCCGGCGCCGCTGCGGGTGCGGCGGCAGCGGCAGGTGCTGGCGGAACACCCGGTCCCACTCGCCCATCGCCTCCCGGGGCCAGCTAGGGCGGGCGCGGGGCCGGCACACCGGGGGACGCGCGCCCTGCGGGAACACAGCCACACGGATCCGCGCAACAACCGCACGTGCGTGGGGACAGCCGCTGCCACACGACCGGCCCGCCTCGCATCCGCCGGGGGATGCACGCGGGTACAGCCAGGGCAGGGCCGGCCCGCGCGGCCCCCGCACCTCCGGGATCCCGGTGTGTGGGAGCGGGACAGGAGCCAGCTCCGTCCCTCAGCGCCCGCGCCCCCCCGCTCGCTCACCGCGCCCCGACGCCATCTTCCTGGGCCCAACCAACCGCGCGCCGGCCCGAGGGGGGGATGGACGCGCTGCCGCCGCTCGCCGCCCCGCCGTCCACCTCTCGCGCCCCATCGCCGGGGGAAAGCAGAGACAGTCACTAGTGAGACGGTCCCGGAGCGACTCTGCACCGGCGTGGGATTCGGCGGCAGCACGGAAGCGACGGCGGCAGCGGCGGCCTCCCCCTTTCAGAGCGGGTGGTCGCGCCCGGCTCAGCATCGGGTTACTAGGGCGATGGTGCCGCACCGCGCGGGGCGGGTCCTCGCGCTGGGTCCGGCCGGCTCCGCAGCCAATGGGAACGGCGCAGCGCCCTCTTAATTTGCATGCGGCGCGAGAGGCGGGCGGCGCGGCCAATGGGCGGCGGGAGGGGCGGGGCCAGGCGCGGCGGGGCGGAGCCGCCCCCACGAGGGCGGGCGGCGGAGCGGCGGGAGCGGCGGACGCGGGGCAGGTGCGGGGGCGCGGGGGGCGCGGGCCCGGGGCCGGGCGATGGATGCCGGGGGCGGTGGAACCGGGCAGGGCCACGGGCAGGGCCACGGGCGAGGCCACGCCGCGGCATGCCCCTCCCGACGCTCCCTGGTGCGGAGAGAGGGGCCCTCGCCCCGCCGCCTGCTCTCGGCCCTGTGGGACCCTGGGCTGTGCGGGGACCGGGAGGGGTTGGCTGTCCCTTCGTTCCCGCAGCGAGGCGAGGCGGACACTGTGAGGCTCCGGTGGCCTGCGGCCTGTCACCGTACACCGGGAGAGGCAGGGCAGGAGCCCCGGTGACACGGTGGGAGCCGCCGGCAAAGCCCTAGTGACAGGGGTGGGAATATTAGATTTTCCTTGAGCCTATTGCGCACAGTGTGTCAAACGTTCCTTCAGCGGTTCCTTCAGCTTCCTTCAGTTTGCTGCCGTTTCTTAGTCCGTTTCTTGTCTCACTTTGCTGCGGTGACCGGAGGGCTGTGGATGGAGGGAGCCCTGAACCCTGCGGCTGGTCCCCAGTCCCCTTGCAGCCCAGGTGCTGCTTCACCATTTCTTCTGCCAGACCCGAAGCTTGTGAACCTCTATCTCGCCAGCCTGCATTTTTATGGGGGCTGTTTTCCTTATGATGGGACCCCCATAGGCCCCCTGCCTGTTCAACCTACGGCCGGCACGGGACTGCTCACATGGGCACCGGAGGCTCTCGTCCAGGTGAGACGTGGTCTGTGCTGCTGGCAGGTGTTGGCAGGGCACCCAGCCTGCTTCCCAAAACCACGGGTTTCTCCCCCAAGCATTGCTGGGAGCCACGGCGCAGCAGTGGGTGAGTGCCAGAGCAGGCTGGGTGAGATGTATCCAGTCTCTGTCACATCCCCTATACAGGCCTGTTGCATATATGCAGTGATTTTCCAGCTGGTGAGCAGAAAATGCCTCTACATGGAGCTGCCAACGGCAGATTCAAGAGAGCTGCTGGTTTTATTCGTTATTACTGTTATTGTTTTGATGTGGAAGGTGGTGGCAGGGCCAGCTGTCACCTCCTGCTCGTGGCCTGCGGGTCTGTGGGTCAGATGCATCACGGAGCAGGAGCAGATCAACTTGGCACATGGCTCCCACCATCTGTGGGGGTAGCAAAGCCACTAATGGGCTGGTGCTGGGAGCATCCCCAAACGGGACGGGGTTTATGGCCTTCCCTGCCTGTTCTGGCTGTGCCTGGAAGTGCTTGTGGCGTGGAAAGCGGGCAGCCTGCTGGGATCACCCACCCTGGCAGTGCTGAGTGGTCCGTCAGTGTCAGCATGGTTTGGAGTAGGCAGTGTGCTTATTGGCCCCGTCGCTGCCAGGACCGTGCTGAAATGGCAGAGGAAGTGCCAAGATGCTGCCATGAATCTGAACAGGATTCAGCTGAGGGAGAAGAACGAGGTTTTCCTAATTTATAGCTGCCAGAGCACCACTGTGTGAGCAGCCTGTCCCAAACCCTGACCCCTTTTTGCTGGCTTGGCCTCTAGCTTTCCTGTTAGATCCAGCTGCATTGGTGTTGTTATCACTGCGGGATCACTGAGTCGCACTGCCACAGGGACCAGCCTGCTCCACTTACTGAGGTGGCACGCGCCAGGCTGGTCTTTTTGCCCAAGATAGCCAAAAAGCCAAAGGCACTGAGAAGGCGTGATGAGCACAAGGAGGATGGGTGGCCAGCGGCAGAACGCAGCAGCCGGGTGACCCTGGTGCTGGAGGCAACCCTGCAGCATCCCTGCCGACGCTGTTTTTGATTATTTTAAGAGGAGCACACCCGGCGCGATGTGAGGCAGTGATGATGCAGCTCCTGCCCAGGCTCCCCGTGGCCCCGGACGAGCCTTCCCCCGCCTGAGCTGCGCAGGGGCGGCTGGTGGCAGCCGCTCGTTCGCCCACGCGCTGCCGGTGCCGGGCTGCGGCGCCGACACGGTTAAGGCACCGGCGGGATCGGGAGCCGGCTGCAGCCACCGGCGGAGCCAAACTTGCCGAGTCAGGATGTGAGAGCGGCGGGGACGGCTCTGCAGCATCCCTTAGGTGCTGTCGCATCCCGGGGCGCGGAGGGCTCGGCTTCCCCCTCCGCCGGACGCCTTTTCCCGGGGACGGAGCGGGAATGGGGTAGGAACCGCCATCCACTGCGTTTGCCGCCGGCTGTAGCAGCTGCTCTGCCGCTTCCCGAGCTCCGCGGAGCCGGCAGCGGGGTTTGACTCGTTGCCTTGTGCCTCCCGACCGCGCATCGCCCTGCGTCCGAGCACCGGAGACAGGTAGGTGCGGTGCTGGGTGCCCGCGGGGCCGCGGCTCGGCTGGGCACGGCGGGGAGCCGGCAGTGTCACACAGCGGGGAACCGGCAGTGTCACACAGCGGGGAGCTGGCAGTGTCACACAGCGGGGAACCGGCAGTGTCACACACCAGGGACCCGCGGGCAGCCCGGTGGACCCCGTTACTTTAGCTCGGTGTACGTGACGGCAAAGCCGGAATGAGCCCGGCCGACGCGTGTTTGGGGCTGTGTCATTGACTCGGGCAGCTGAGCAGCGCTCGGTGCCGGAGCTTCGGCGGTCACGGGCGACCTCACGTGTCGCAGCGGAGTCCCCAGCGCCCGCCCGCCGCGGTGTCGCGGTGATGCGCTGGGGACGGCGCGGGAGCCCACCCGGGCGGTCGGAGGCCCCTGGTGGGCTGGGAGATGCTGCGCCGCAACAGAGGCTCCCGGGCCAAAGGAAGGGGCAGGGCTGCTGCTCTGCGGATCCCTGCGGCGCCGGGGGAGCGGGGGGGGCACGGGACCAGCACGGGGCATGAGCACAGAGGTGACGGCAGGAGGTGACAGGAGGTGCCGAGGCGACAGGGGAGGGCAGCGTGAGTCATTGAGCTAAAGTCACCTTCCCCGTGGTGTGGAGGGGGGCATTTCGCTGTGCTGCAAACACAGTGAAAAAAGGGGAGAAATATGGGGACAGGTACCTGGCGTGGGGAGATGCGACATTGCCTGCATCCCTCACCTGACTTGGGTGCCCAGGGCAAGGATCCATCAGAGCTCCCTGTCCCAGGACCTCACCCTTGGAGGATCAGGCTCACCAGAAGCAGCAGTTTCGTCCCTACATTTGCATTAATTCCTTGTCCAGTTTCACCCGCTCCTACTCTGATGGCAGCATGTCTGGCAGGCTGCAGTATGTAGCCCCCCCCCCCCCTCCGTGTTGGCCCAGCTCCCAGGGGCTTCCCAATCATAAACTATCCATGTCGCAGCATCCACACTCCTGTACCCCACTGTGCTGCCAGGGATAGGAATGAACCTTGGTGGAAGCACAAATCATGAGGGTGTCCTTCACCTGACTCCTGGGTGCATCCTGCAGAAGAAAACACTTTTCTTCCCTCTCAGGCCACTGCTGAAACTCCTGCAGTTGCAGACTCACAGCTGAGTTGTGCCGTGATGAAGTTGGAGGTGCAGGAGCAGTCTCAGGGAAGCACCAAGCTGCTGACACTAAGGATATCGGACTTTTGGTGGTGCCTTTGGCTCAGAGAGCTCAGAGGGATTAATTGGCCTCAAACGCTGAGACACTTTGGCTCCTCGGCGTGCAGAGCCCTGACCTGTGTGCCCGTGGTCCAGCTGTGCTTGCCAGCAAAGTCCCTCTAGCACTGCCAGAAACTTGCCAGCCACTGCACTTGGTCCCCACAGCATTGCTGAGAGGCAGCAGGGAAGGGGCATCAGGTTCTGCTGAAAATTGCGGAAATCTGCGCTCCTGGCACCACAGCCCCCTGGGATACAGGATCGACCAGTCCTGAGCCACGCAGCAGTCCGGGGTTGTGGCAGTGCAAGCAAGGAGCTGCATGGCTGTGTGGGACACGGGGGCCCAGCTGTCCCCGCTGTGGGTGTCCCCCAGCTTCCCTCAGCTTTGTTTTGCTGCCACTAACGAAGTGTCATTGGGCTCTTGAGCGGGCAGGACAGTGCCCGGCCGGTGGCGGCTGCTGAGCTGCGGTGCTGCGGGCAGCTGCCCACCGCCAGGCGAGGCCGTGCGAGCTGCGGGGCCAGCACTCCCAGCACCCGGGAGAAGCCCGGGGGTCACAAGGGCTTGGGAAGCCCAGCCGGGTCCTGGTTGTAGGGCTCGGCAGGGTCTGCTCCGGGCTCAGGTCAGTGCTGCGGGTTCAGGAGAGAGCAGCTCCCTCCTGACTTCTCCAAAATAAAACCGGCTCTACTGAGGCTCCTTGGGCTCCGGCTCCAGCGCGGCTGTGGCCAAAGGAGACACACTCCTGCAGCGCTCAGGAGGAGGGCGGTGGGGATCTGTGCCGGGGGCTGCAGCCCGGCCGGGAGCTGCGGTGGGCGGCTCCGCGGGGATGGGCTCGGCTGCCGCAGCTGCTGCCATTGGGCTGCGTGGGCTGCAGGGGCTGCGCCGGGATGCAGGCACGCCGGGCCGGGATGCCGGAGGGATGCAGGATGCGGGAGGGATGCAGGATGCTGGAACGCTATGCTGGGATTTAAGAGGGATGCAGGATGTGGACGCAGGGTGCAAGACTGCCCTGCTGGGATGCAGGCAGGATGCGATATGCAGGCACACCGTGCCGGGATGCAGGATGCAGGCACGCTGTGCCAGAATGCGGGAGGGATGCAGGATGCAGGCATGCTGTGCCAGGATGCAGGCGGGATGCGTGCCAGGACATGAGCACACTGTGTAAGGCCATGCTCCCACTGAGCCCAGGGCAGCCAGGAGCCCAGAGATCTCTCAGTCCCTATCTGGGAAACAGAGCAGCTTGTGATCTGCAGTATAAAGATGGCATCTCACTGGCCTAAAGAAAGAAGGGATAAATTTAAATCCCAGCCCCAGTTCTGTAGGGAAGTGTCATTGTTTTCTGTGATACTGGAAACTGCTGACAGTGTTGCAGGAGCAGGAGCACAGCTCCCGGGGACTCATGCTGGATGCCCCTGCCATGAGGATGGGGACAAGGAGGTCAGGGGTGCCTGGGGGTGAGCCCTACTTTCCCTCAGAGCTCCCTCACCCCTGTGCACCCAGTCAGTCACATGTGGGCTGCAGGAAAAGCGAGACTGTTTTCCTTCCATCACTTTGTCCCTTTCAGAGGGACCCTCAGGGGCAGCTTCAGGGTTTTCAGAATGCTTTGTTTTTCAGGCCCATGTTTCCTCACGATTTCCTGAGGTCTCAAGACCACCAGAAGTCTGGAGAGAGCAGCTAGGCTGGGAAGTCAGAGGAACAGGGCTGGGGCGAGATGGTTTTGGGATCAGTGGGTCAGGGTGTGAGCCCCAGGGTCTGAGGCAGCCGAGCTACCGTGCCCACACTGCTGTCAATGCCACGTGCCCATCTGGCTCAAAATCTCCTGCAGCAGGAAGTGTCGTCATGCGCGTGCCCCAAAAAACTCATTTCTTCCTCTTTTCCTCTTCCCCTGTGGCAGGGGTGAGGCAGCAAGTGGCTCCGGGGAGCCCAGGCTGGCTCCATGTATCCCGAATCCACCACTGACTCCCCAGCGCGACTCTCGCTGCGGCAGACGGGCTCCCCAGGGATGATTTACAGGTAAGGATGCAGGGCAGTGCTGGGGGGACCCTGTGGGGCTTCAAACCCAAGCCTGTGGCAACCCAGAACCACTACACTCCCTGAAACTGCCCTGATACTCGTAAACTGCCCCAGCACGCTTTGTGCAAAGGCTTCCAGCACAAAACTCCCACACAGCAGCAGCAGCATTTTGGGTCACTGGTGCCTGTTCTGGGCATAGGGGGCACTTTCAGGGTCGTGCCAGTGCCTGCTGCAGTGTGCACTGTGCTGTGACATGGATGGGTGCTGCTGATCCTTCCCACAGCTGCTGACTCTGCCACTCACTCCCGCTCCTCCTTTCTAACGGGGTTTGTGGCATCTTTCTTCTCTCTCCCCTTTGCTGTCGGAAGCGCGAGATACGGGAGCCCCAAGCGCCAGCTCCAGTTCTACAGGTAACCAGGCCCCTTCCCCTCCCCAGAATCCCCCCAGCAAGCGGCCATGGCTCCTGCCCATGCCCAGATAATGCCAGCACAGCACTGCCCTGCCCAGTGTGCCAGGGTCCCTCCGTGTGTGGTGGGCATCACGTGTGGCATCGCCTCATCACCTGCTCGTGGGTTTGGAATTCAGTGTGGTGACCCTGGGGTGTGGCTGGCTGGGGGGGACTGTTCTCATGGGCTGTCCAAGCAGCAGAGTGTGGCCACATGGCTGTGGGGGACAGCCACTGTGGGGTGTGGGGCTCAGCTCAGCTTGTGGGGAGCGTCCCATGCCAATCCTGTGCCTGGAGAAGCCCTTAGCTTTTCCCAAGTGCAGCTCTGGGAAACCAGCCAGCTGCTCCGTGGCTCCTGCTATTAGGAGCAGTCTCATTAAGTGGTTCAGGAGGCAACAGTCGTCCCCATCACCCTTTTACTGTCTGAAGTGAGGGCAGCACTTCCCCACACACTCTGCCAGCAGCTGCTCCAGGGCCACAGCAGCCCAGTGGAGTGGGACTGGGTCTGGCCTGGCTGCCATGGGGTGGGGGACTGGGGTCTGCCTCTCGACGGAGCTGTGACCTCCCTACTTCATCCCACACATGACGGGAGGCAGTAAGGTGGGCTGGCAATGAGGAGGTAAGGTGGGATGGCTCAGTGGCACTCACAGTGTCCGTCCCAGTGCTGCCACCAGCACTGCCGAGCCCCAGTTATGGGCAAGTTCTGGCTGCCGAACTGGTCTGAACCACTGGACACATCTGGTGCAAAAGGCTCCCAAGGCCAACAGCAGCTTGTCAGTAGGCTGCCTTCAGGCAGTAACCACCTGCGTTCATCTCCCAGTTCCGTTTCGGGGCTCCCTCCTGGTGGAGGCTGCCTTTCAGTCCTGGCACAGCCCAGCTCTGACTCCACTGCTGCAGGGACCGTAGAGAGCTGTGTCTGCCTCAGGGCACCGTCTCCGCTCCCTGATGGCCGCAGTGTCCAGCCGTCCCCACCGCCCTGTGTGCTGGTGACGGGGACCCGTCACCACAGGGCGAGGGGCAGGCGGTGCCAGCGTTGGTAAAGCAGCAGCAGCCCATCCCCGGGCTTTTAGTGAGGCTCCATGAATAATTTAACTCCCCTTCGCAAGGAAGAAAATCCCCTAATAGGGCTAATGGAGCGCGGTGAGAAGCCGGACGCTGGGGGCCAGGCGCAGCCGCCAAGTGCCTTGGACGCCAAGCTCCGACACTCCCCTAATGCAAAACAACGCGGCCACCGCGGCTCTTATATCTGCCCTGGGGCAGCCCGGCCGCCCAGAGCTGCGCTGCTGCTGAGCAGCTTCCCCGGCGCGGTGAGTCGGGGCTGGGCACGGTGGGCGATGAGCGGGGACGGGCACCGGCACGGGGCATCCGCTGCGGGCAGCCGGGAAGATTTTCCGTGCAGGGTGACTTGGGATTTGATGGTTTAGGGTGGTTTGCTTTTGGACTTTGGGGTCTTCCTGGCTTTAAACAGGTTGGTGGCTGCCAGTTTTCCAGCTTGGTGAGCCAGGCTGGCCAGGTATCTCTCCGGGCAGCTGCCCTGCAAGTCACCCACTTGTTGTGGCCCTGATGCTGCTAACAGTGCTGTTATCCCACAGAGCCTGTGCTCTGTTCCCCATCCCTGCTCCTTCCTCGCAAAGCAGCCTCTCCCGCTTGGGCATGGCATAGCTCATCCTTGGCAGATCCTGCAGCCCTGCTGCCACTCATCCCAGGAGCACTGGGATTTCTGCTATCACCCACCACCTCCACACTCTCTCCAGTTCTGTTCTGCCAAAAATCAGGGAAGTGTCAAGACAGGGCAGCTGGTGGATTCCCACCCCATTCCTCAGAGCAGCCCAGATCAAACCCCCAGCTCTGCTTGCTGCAGCCGTTTGGCTGCAGCAGAGCAGCGGTGCAGCCAGCTCAGGTTTCTCCTTGCTGCTGTCAGGTGAGGGGATCCTACCAGGGCAAGGAGATCCCACTGGGAACAGGGAGATCCCGCCAGGTGCCAATACCCAGCAGGAGCCACTGGCATTGCCCTAATTAATGCCACGAGCCACAGAGAAGGGCTGATGCTGGCAGTGCTGGGTCCAGTCTCCAGCTTTGAGGTGTGGCAGGAAGAGGCTGATGAACAGGATTCAGTTTGACTTTGCCACAACAGAGGGAAAGGTTTTCTTTCCATGTCTCCTGGCTTTCCCAAGGCCTTGCTACAAAGCAGGAGGAGCACAGAGTGGTCTCTGGCAGCACCAGATGTCAGAGGAGACCCCCAGGGTTTTGGTCATACCTGGCCAGCTGCTTCTCCATATCCTCTGGGCTTCCTTCTCCTTTCCTCTGGAGGTCACACCTCAGTGGCAGAGAGTCCTTCACTTTTGGCTCCTGCAGCTGTCAATTTGAGTTTCACAGGGAAAGAAAAAACCACCAGTGGGAGCCTGGCTGGAGCCTGATGCCGGTGTAGATGTGTCACAGTGCATCCCCAGTGGCCACTCTGGCACCAACACCAGTTTTGGCCCCAGTCCCTGCTCCCTGCAGACACTGGAAACAAGAGAAGTTACAGAGAGAGGCACAGAAATCGAGCAGGTGCCACCACCAGTGAGGTCCCAGGCACAGAGACCGGCAGGACTCGGGTGTGTGAGGAGCCCACCCTGCAGCAGGCTATTTTCGGCAGCCGCACCGGCTGGGAGGTCGCTGCCGCGGTGGTGGGGAAGGTGTTGGCTGGTGGCGCACATTGCGGCAGCGTGACGCAGGCACCGTGAGCACCCAGTGCCCACAGACCCTCTGCCGATGTCCACCCTTTCCAGGGAGCCCCACGGGGACCCCTTTCCCGTCCCAATTTTCCTTGCCCATTGGCACGCAGTGCCAGATTCTCACCAGCAGTACTTGTGCCGCTGCTCGCCATGCCTCAGCCAGCTCCTGGGACCCACTGTGTCCCTCGCAGAGATGCACACCAGTGCAGCCCAGACAGCGCAAGCTGGGAGCCAGCACAGCGGGGCACAGGCCACACTGCTGCATCGTGGCTTGGGGCAGCTGTGGCAGGCACTACTGCAGCCTCCGACACGGACTGTGCCACATCCCTGTCCTGCTGCTTCTCCCGTTGTGCTTCAGCTCTCACGCCAAGGCTTTGCTCCGCTGAAGAGACTGGCTTTGCTAGGGTCCCCACATGTCCTAGCAAGGGTGGGTGCCACCACTCTGGCATGGCAATGCAGGCAGGACTGTGCCCTGAGTGGCGAGGGAGCCCATGTTGTGCTTTCCCAGCTCTCTCCGTAGCACCACAGAGTGTTTGGCGGCGTGGCTGGCCGGCAGAGCCCACGCTCAGGTGGCAGGATGCTCTCCATGACCTACAGTGAGAGCCTGCGCAGCGTGGCCAGCCGGCCCAGCCCCGAGTGGGGGCTGCCCCCAGCCCCCCGGGCGGCCGACGGGCTGGAGCTGCGGCGGCTGCGGGATGTGCGGGCGGCGGCGCGGGCGAAGACTCTGGAGGAGTTCCTGCGGATGCACGGGCTCTCCCTGGCCGACAGTACCGCCCGCACCACTGGCATGAAGTACAGGTAAGGCAGCGCCGCGAGGGCCGAGGTGAGGGGATGACACGGGGGACGCTGCTTGGTGCTGCTTTGACACCTCGTCAGGAGAACGGCTCTCACCTAAGCTCACCTCGGCTCCCCTGTGCCGCGCCGAGGCTGCGAGGAGCCGATGCCCTTGGCACGGCGTGCGCCGGAGAGGCGGCGGTCGATCAGCGCCGTTAGCACTTTCCTACTTGGTGATCTGTGAGCTTCTCACTTGACATTCCTGTTTGCTGTTAGGGCATTTGCAGATGCAGACAGCCTCTGAGCTTTAAAGATTAGGCACCTGGAGCAAACAGCCGCCAAAGAGCTGTTTCTGCCTCAGAGGTGTAAATCTCCATCTGATGCAGGTAGATCTCTGCCTGACTGGAGAGGTACATCTTCACCTGACAGAGGTTCTTCTCCACCTGAGGGGTGTAAATCTTCACCTGACAGAGGTTCTTCTCCACCTGACGGGTGTAAATTTCCATCTGACTGGGGTACATCTCCACCTGCCGAGTGTGCATCTCCCCCTGGCTGATGGGTGTGCATCACAGAGCGGGTGCATAATTAATTTTGCATGTGGGTCCTGGTGCAAGGTGTATCAGGATTTCATCCAATGTCCTTGTCAGGAGGACACTCCAGGCAGCTGGAGAGGTGGCCACAGCCCCTTAGAGTGATGGGGCTGCCCTGCCCAATGCACCTCTCCCCTTGCATTGCAGGTGGGGCAATGGGGTGCAGGGCCAATCACCCCCAGTAACCCAGGTCAGGCTTTGGGAGGCAGCAGGGCTGAGGACAATGGCTGTTCTCCAGTGACAATATAGGGGTGCCCCTTGTCCCCCACTGCAGCAAAGCCCCCAGGAGCTGGCAGTGGGGGACAGTGCTGGCTCCTGCCGTGCTGCACTGTGCCGCGCCGCGGGTCAGGTTCCCCTCTGCTCGCAATGACCACGGTAACATTTACACAGTGGCAAGAGCCCATCTAATATTAATGGGGACATTATTTATTGATGGGAGCAGCTGGCAGAGACACCCCAAAGGTGCTCCTTCTTTGGTCATGTCCTTGCTGCCACCAAAATTTGTGGGGTTTCTCATCCTCTGTGGGCTGACAACTGCTGCCAGGTCCCCCCTGCACTGGAGCCGGCACTGCTGCTGGCAGGATTACCAGCTAAGGAGCTTTACGAGAGAGGGAAGCAGAAGAGATTACAAGATTTTTCATTAGGTTTGGGGCAAATGTGCATAATTTCCTGCAAGCCCCATCGCTGCATTTTGCTCCATCCTGAGGAGCACGGCAGGTGCTGGCAGCCGGCGCAGGACGGTGCTGTAGTGTGCTGACCTGTGTACTTGATTCGTCAGGAGGTGCTAGGCTGGAATTCGCCTCACTCGACTTCGCTTGCACTGGGAAAAATAGGGGGAATGTGCGGCTGGGGCTGTGGCGCCGAGGGCGACAACTTTAGCAAACATCTGGGCTCTGCCACCCGCGCTGTCGCCCAGCCGTGGGGCCGGCGATGCACACGCCTTGCTGCGAGAGGGTTTCGTTTCGGAGCCGTGCAGGAGAATCTGCCGCTATCACTCCGCATCCCCAGCCGGAGCGGGGCTGGGCCAGCAGCCGTACCCGCGGGGAGGATGCCCCACCACGGCCACTCCGGAGGGTACCGGCGGCGGCTCTGCCTCTCCTGCCCCCACCTGCCCGTGTGCCGCTCGCTCGCTTCCTGAGCTCATCAAATATTGAGGGCAGGAGGGCTGACGGGAGCGCTCCTCGCCCGCCGCCCCGCAGCCCCCCGCCGTCACGTTGGCGGCGCGGGAGGAGCTCCCCGCCTCGCCCGGGGCGCCGGCTAAATTTAGGCAACTGGCGCTGCTGCCCGCCGGAGCAGCATGCAGGTCTCCTTTGTGTGCTCCGAGCACAGCATCAAGAGCCGGAGCGCGGAGGACCGGCTGAACCGACAGAATGCCGGCAGCCCCAGCCTCGGCACCCGCGGCAAGTTCCGCGCCGTGGCCATGGTGGCCCGCAGCCTGGGGCAGCTCTCGGTGCAGAACGCCCCCTCCTCCAGCGACTCCAGCGTCAAGCAGCCGGGGATGAAATACCGGTAGGAAACGGGCGCTGCTGGGGCTTTCCCTGTTCCTCACTGCGATCGGGGCGCCGAGGGGGGGACTGGGCTCCGCTCTCCCCTTGTCTCCGTTTCGCGTCCGGTTCTGTCGGTTTCTCGTCGCTAAAAGTGCTGACCGTGCGCCTCCGTGCGCTTCCTCGCTCTTTGCTCCTGTCCCCTCAGGGCAGCTTTGATCCAACCGCGCGTAAAATCTTCAGCATGGGGGAGAGAAGGGACCCTAAAATTCAGAGTAGGATTAGTAGCATCCTCAGTGTCTGCCAAACCGGGCTGGCTGCCGAGCCGGGGGGGTCTGGGAGTCACGGTAGCGTTAATCCGGGCTGCCATGGCATCCTTTCGGTGCAGGAGAGTCAGTGTCCTGCAAAGTGAGAGCAGAACCATAAGCGGTTCTGGCTGCCCATGGTGGTTCTGGAAACGGGGTGGTGTGTGCATGTGGGGACCCCCCAAAGAGCACCCACAGGGCTCATACACCCCATGTCCTGGCTCTGGGGAAGAGCACTGAGGGCTTCTCCCATTGAGGCTGAGTGTGCACCTGGGTGTGGGGCTGGGGCTCTCCCCTGACTAGCATGGACCGCAGGACAGGGTAGGGCCCCCCCCAAATAAGCCTGCACGCCATGGTCCAGCGGCCGTGTGCCTCCGCTGCAGCCCAGATGTGCCAGCATTAGGCAACAAAGTGTGTAAGGCCAGCAGAGCCCTCAGGTGACCCTGGGTGTCATCCACCAGTGTCGTCCAAATCAGCCGAGCCCCCTTACCTGGGCACAGGGGAGGGGGCTGGTCCAGTTCTGTCCAGCTCTCAAACACCAAACCCTTGTGGTGGTAACAGCAGTACTGGGACAATGCACGGTGGCATCCTGAGGGCTCAGTGCTCCTGCCCACAGTCATGTCCTCATCCAGAGGAGGAGCATACCAGCAACACCCTCTCCCAGAAAACGGGTGATCAGCTCAGGAGTCCCCACTGGTGGCTGCTGGAGGGACAGTGGCACAGGGGGATGCTCCAAGCAAGTGGATGGGATAGGAAGGCCATAGCAGTGTAGGGGAATGCTTGGCCTTCCCAAGGTCTGCCAGTATCTCTATTTGGCAGCCTGTCAACACACTTTTGGGTTGGGAAGCCAAGAGTAGCAATGGTCACCTGCCTAGGGGAACCCCAGCAATGCTCTTGGAATGTCCAGGATGGGACAGGTGCTCTCCTCTCCACATGGCAACCCCCATCATGGGGGCTTGAGCCACCACTGGCCCATGGCCATGACCTCTCCCCACCACAAAATGCTCTAAAAACGCCACGGGACAGGGGGAGCGCTGGTGCCTCCAGATGCTGGGCGATAGGATGGCAGTGCAGAGCGATGCTGCCCTGACTCAGTGCAGCCCACGGTTGCCCGTGGCTGGGCCACAGCCACTCCCTGCCCGGCTGCCGGTGCCCGTGTCGGCGGTGCCGGCGGTGGCGGTGCCTCCGGTTGCTATGCGACACCCGCGCGGGCGAGCTGCCGCGGCTCACCTACACTTTATTTATTTTAACGCTCATTTCTTGAGCCTTTGTCATTTTTAACAAGTAACTGGCTCTCCATCACCACAGCGAAGGCGTCTGCCAGCCTGGCCCCCTTCCCGAAAGCTGTTCTCCAGTTCCTTGTGCCGGTCAGATTTTCTGGGGTGCTCCATTTCTCCGGGGTGTTGCTCTGCTCCTGAGCACCCTCGCCTGGTGCAAGCCCTGCTCTCCCCTGTGTGATGCAGACAACAGGCACAACTCATGCCATGTTTGGGATGCTTCAGTCCCAACCACCAGCATGTCAGCTCCTCTTTTGCCAGTCTCATTCCCCAGTGCCAGCAGCACGGACACCCCAGCCTCATCACAGGAAGCTACTTTAACGAGGTCACTGCTCTCCCAATAGCCCCACCGGGCACAGCATCACTGCGCAGTTGCAGGCAGTGCCACCACCAAGCTGCGGGATGCCCAGCCTGGGATGGCTCGTTAATCAGTTGAGAAGGGACTCTCATTGTGGAACCATCCCAGGTGGGGATGGAGACCAGGGACCACCACCACACCTCCCAGTCCTCGTGCCCAGTGTGTTTGGTGGCATGCAGGATGCATGAGACGGCGTTTTGAGGCTTTTTGGCACCTTTCCTAATGGTCTCTGTCTTCCAGGAACCTCGGGAAGTCTGGGCTGCGTGTGTCCTGCCTGGGTCTGGGTAAGTGCCAGGGTTTGCCACAGCCCCTATGCATCCCCTCAGTTCCGCAGCAGCTGCCGGCACTCCCCAGCCAGGGCAGCGCTCGCTTGCCCCAGTAATATTTGCGAAGGGAAGGAAAGGGTTTTCCTCAGCCCTGCGGCTGTTTTGAGTCACGGCCCAGAAATTGTCAAATTATTTTCTCTTTTTCTGACACGATAGGATGAGACTGGCCGTGCTGGGAGCACCACAGTGCACGCGGCAGGGCCAGCTGTGGCCACCACGTGCCAGGGCTGTGCTGAGGGAGCCAGCGTGGGTGGCCGGGGGCTTGAAGTGGCAGCGCTCGTTGCTCACCACATTCACCATGCACACACCTCTCTCTCCCCTGCAGGAACATGGGTGACTTTCGGAGGGCAGATCACAGATGAGGTAAGGCTGCACCCCTTCACCCTGTGTCTTCCCAGCCTTTCCTTGGTGAGTGGGGAGGGGATGGGGCCAGCACAGCCGTGGCTGTGCCCTGGGTGCACAGCAGCGCTCTGCGCACGCGCCCGTGCGCCGGCTCTTGGCCACCCCCTTCACCGACCCCGCTCTCTCCTCGCAGATGGCAGAGCAGCTGATGACTTTAGCTTATGACAACGGCATTAATCTCTTCGACACGGCAGAAGTCTACGCTGCTGGCAAGTAGGTACCCTGCTTTGGCAGCACCACAGGGGTCTCACCCTACACCCTGACGCCCACCAAATCACAGTGGCAATGGGAATATCCCAGGTTTGCCAGCTGCAAAGCAGCTTCCAGCATGGGGCTCTGAGCACTTGCTCATGGCAGCTGGTTCTGGCAGTCCCATGTTTCCTGTAGTGGCCTGTATCAGGTACAGCCATGCACCCTCCCAGCACAACTGTACCCAGGGCACACTGGCCCAGGGCATTGGCATGTGCCCATGCATTCACTTAAAATTAGCAAGCTCATGCACTGGGGGCAACTTGGCTCTGGGCGCTGCAGCCAAGGGGTAATCAGTGTCCCCACAGCCACTGCATTTGCCTCTTATTCTCCCGGGGTCTGGAGCCATCCCTGTTGGCTGTCATCACTCCCATGGCTGCAGCTGCCAGGTGACAATGGCTGATGTCCCTTTCCCTTGTAGGGCCGAGGTGGTGCTGGGGAACATCATCAAGAAGAAAGGGTGGAGGTAAGCCAGACGTCATCCCTATTTGGCAAGACCATGCCATAGTCCCATAGTCGTGGGCTGGGAAAAGCTGGTAGAGCAGCCTTGGGCAGGAGCGTGCCATCCAAGGCAGGGTGCACAAGGCTTTGTGGGTGCCACCACCAGTGATTCTCTCTCCCTGCAGACGGTCCAGCCTGGTCATCACCACCAAAATCTTCTGGGGAGGAAAGTAGGTAACACCCTCCCTCCAGCAGAGCAGCTGGCACGGGTCAGGCTCTCACCCAGGCTCTCACCCACCTTTCTTTTTCCAGGGCTGAGACAGAGAGGGGCCTGTCCCGAAAACACATCATAGAAGGTAGGGGTAGGGGTGAGGGCACTCGCCAGGCGCTGCTGGCCCCGGTGCCAGGCTGTGCCCCACTGTCTGCCTCAGTGCTGGCAGTATGGGGCTCAGCATGCCTGACAGCCCCATCCGTGCTGCAGGTCTGAAGGCATCTCTGGAGAGGCTGCAGCTAGAGTATGTGGATGTGGTGTTCGCCAACCGGCCCGACCCCAACACGCCGATGGAAGGTGGGTGTGCGCCACGGTGCCACGCTCCTCCCCGCCGCCTTTCATCGCCGTCACGGTTGGTTTGCGCCAGGCTTGTGTTTCAAGGGCATTTTCCCTCCCAAGCAGAATCCGCTCCTCTGCCACTACGGTTGGCCCGTGCCACAGTCACACTTCTGCCACCTCCTGCCCGGTGCCAGGACCCTCTCGGGCCACAGCGGGGAGGGTTGGTGGTGCAGTGGCAGGTCACTGCCCCTGTCCCAGCAGCAGTGACTCCACTTTCTCTAAATCTCTCTTTTATCACCAGGGGACCCATTTAGTTCCTCCAAGTCCAGGACTTTCATCGTAGAAGGTACTCCCTGCCCGCACTCTGCCCGCCAGCGGTGTTTCCTGGGGCAGAGCCCCCACTCCTCTGTGATCCCCCATCCTTGTTCCCCCCTTCTCAAGCAAACCCTGCCATGAGATGCAGAGGCAGCAGCAGCACAACACAGAAACCCCCCCTCGCCCTTCAGACTGTACTGCAGTTTAAAGGACAAAAAGCAGAGAGGCTCCCACCCACCAGGGTCCTGCCATGGGGCACCCTTGGCACATGCCAGGGTCTGCAGCAGGGTCCCTCCCCACCGGGGCAGCTATGAGCATGCTGGGGTGTGTGCCCCGGTGCCGGCCGGGTGAGCCTCGTGCCCCTTGCCCTCCCGCTGCTCGCCTTTGGCTGCAGGAGCACGCCTTGTCTTGGCCCAGCCCGCATGGCTCAGGCCTGGCTCCCCCCAAGACCCCTGAGTGGCTCACACAGGATTCAGGCTTCCCTCCATGGCTGTGTGCAGGCAATGCATCAGTCCCTCCCCCTGCAGCAGTGCCAGTGCTGGTAACCCCACAGGGCATGGGGGCACTGGCAGAAGCCTCAGGCTGCTGTCCATGCAGGGAGAGCCTGGCACGGTGTGAGCACGTCAGGTCGGCTGAGGTCCCTGGCACATCCCGAGTGGCTGCTCCCTCTCTCCCCATCCTGCTCTTCTGAAAGCATCCCCTGGACAGCACCCAGCTCCCACAGCAGCATTGGGTAGTGGGATGCTCGCCAGCCATCAGCGCGGTGCAAGCCCCCTGCTGCCAGTGCAGCCCCTGCTAAACCCCACCTGCCACTCTCTCCTTCCCTCCCGGCAGAGACAGTGCGAGCCATGACCCATGTCATCAACCAGGGGATGGCCATGTACTGGGGGACCTCACGCTGGAGCTCCATGGAGATCATGGTAGGGGCCCAGGGGACGGGGCGGCCACAGCAGAGCAGCCCCAGTGATGCTGCTGACGTTGATTTAATTGGACAGCAGCTGTTGCGAGCCAAGCGTGTGCAGATGCACTTAAGCCTTAATTATTTTTCGGGGTGGCCGCTCAGGACTTGGCTGGGGGGTTCGGCAGGGGGCTCGGGGGGAGCGGCAGGGCGCTGAGGGTCCTGTCTCTTCTGCAGGAGGCGTACTCGGTGGCCCGGCAGTTCAACCTGATTCCGCCCATCTGCGAGCAGGCCGAGTACCACATGTTCCAGCGGGAAAAGGTGGAGGTGCAGCTCCCTGAGCTCTTCCACAAGATAGGTATGACAGTGGGGATTCCTCCCCAGCTCCCCAAGCCCAGTGCTGCTGAGGCCAGGCCCCTGGGGGAGCTGAGAGCAGCGGTGTCATCCCCCTGTTCTGCTCTGTCCCCAGGTGTTGGAGCCATGACCTGGTCCCCACTGGCCTGTGGCATCGTCTCGGGGAAGTACGATGGGGGCATCCCCCCCTACTCCCGTGCGTCACTCAAGGTGAGCTGCACCAGGGCTGGGAAGGCACATGGGGATGGACAGAGCTGAGGGAGCAGGGCCAGGGGTCTTGCAAAGTCCCTAGGGGAACAGGAACTTCAGGAGCCACAACCTAGGGAGTCTGGGGATGCCCTGCCTGTGCAAGGTGCTGGTACACCCTGATCCCACCACAACGCCCCTTCCCACTCTCCAGGGATACCAGTGGCTGAAGGACAAGATCCTGAGTGAAGAGGGCCGGCGGCAGCAGGCAAAGCTGAAGGAGCTGCAGGCCATTGCTGAGCGCCTGGGCTGCACCCTCCCCCAGCTCGCCATCGGTAAGAGGGTGGGGGACAGCTGGGGGTGACACCAGGAATATCTGGGCCATGCTCAAGCTCTGCTCTCCCTCCTATCCCAGCCTGGTGCCTGCGCAATGAGGGTGTCAGCTCTGTCTTACTGGGGGCCTCCAATGCCGACCAGCTGATGGAGAATATTGGAGCAATACAGGTCAGTGCTCCCAGCAGGAGCAACATTTGTCCACAGCACTCATTGCAGTGCTGCACTGTGCGGGAAAAGAGGGTTGCAAACCCGGCTCCATGACAGGTTTTGCTTGTCACGAAGGCAAGAAGCAAAGACGAGGCTTTGCTGGGCAGAGGGGGCAGGGTTGGGCCTGACTCAGGCTCTCCCTAACTGGGTCACCCTGCCGGCAAGCTGGGGCTTGTGGCACAAACATGGTGTGGTGGAGGCGGTGAGCATCCTCCTGTGCACACTACGGTCACAATCCCAACTCCCAGCGTTGCCCTCATCCCCCGCAGGTCCTTCCAAAGCTGTCGTCTTCCATCGTCCACGAGATCGATAGCATCCTGGGCAACAAACCATACAGCAAGAAGGACTACAGATCCTAAGCGCGCCCGAGCGCTCTGCCCGCCGCGCAGCCCTCGCCGCCCGTTCGCTTGCTTAACGCTTTGTTGGAGCGAAGTGGAGAGTGTGGCTCGCACCATGAGCGCCGAGAGCCAGCGCTCCCGCCCGCGCTGCCCCGGACGTGGCTCCACGGCGCAGGGACGGCCGGCGGGAGGCGAGCCCCGGGCTGCCCGGCCGCCCTGCCCGCGGGACCCGATGCATGCGTGGCTCCTGCCTCCGCGTTGGCGGCGGGCGCGGGGCGCACGCGGGTGCTGTACGCCCACGAGGCCGACAACACGAAGCTGTTCCCCAGCCCTCGCCTCTGCCCTCTCCCACGGCACCGGCGCCGTGGGGCTGCGGTTCCCGGCGAGCACCCACTCCCGGGGAAGGGGTGGGTGGGATGGGGACAGGGAGGGAGTTCGCTGCGGAAAGAGCCTGGGATGCTCCGGGCGAGCACAAGGCTCTGCTGCGGGAGGGGACGGGCCAGGGGAGTGTGTGTGGGCAAGTGTGTGAGTGTCGGTGTGCGTGGACACACGCGGAGATGCAGGGACAGGCAGACACGCGTGGATTTGCAGACAGCAGCTGTGGAGGTGAACACAGCCCACAGGCACCTTCAGTTGTATCTGCACAAAGCTACCGAAAGCCTCTACACACGCACCCACGTACACCTGGTACAGGGGTGTCTGCAGACACACACAGAGTCACAAGTAAATACAGATGTAGCTCTACCTCCACTTCTATCCCTGACATCAGTCTCTGAGAGATCAATACCTATTTACATACATAGATATCTCTATGTAGATGTGTACACACACCTCTGAAAAATACATGTATAATGTATATATGCACACATAGACACATGTGCTTGTGTATATACAGACATACATGGTTCAGTTGATCCATATATGTAATATATAGATGTGCACATATCCATGTAAATATATTGCTATAGCAGCATCCATGTTTGTATGGATATATGCACACATGAAAATTACTGATATGTACTTAAATGTGTGTATATACAGATAGATGTATATATACAGATAGATGTGTAGATGTCTCTATATCCATACCCAGCTTTTTAACTATATACTCATGTCTATACTTCTATAAACATATGCCATATATACACATGGACACAGACATTTGTAATTTAGATACAGCTATAGCTACATATATACAGCTGTATGTCTAGCTATAGCTATATATATGGATACATGTCTGATAGAGAGATGATACATAAAGCTATAGAGAGAACAATATAGCTACATGCATCTCTTTTTAGCTGTCTGTGTACTCTGCAGAACAAACATTTTGCCTGTATCTATATATACGTATCCATATCCACATACATTTATATGCAGTTTCCTCTATCTGTGCACACATAAATACAAAAACTGTAAGTGCATGTGCAAACCCTCAGCTTTGTGCAGTGTGTGTGAGCTCTATGCACTTTGTGTGTGTGAACTGTGCACTCTGGGCATGTGTATGAGCTTTGCACTGTGTGTGGAAGCTCTCTGAACTCTGCTCACTGTGAGACCTCTGCACTGAGTTCTGCTCTCTGTGTGTGAGCTCTCTGGAGTGTGTGTGAGATCTATGCACTGAGCTCTGCACACTGTGAGAGGTCTGTGCACATTGTGAGATCTGTGCACTGAGCTCTGCACACTCCGAGAGCTCTGTGCACTGTGAAAACTCCACACTGTGTGTGTGAGCTCCATGCACAATGTGTGTGTATTTATCTGCTGTCTGGCCATGGCTGCACCTACAGCCCCACTATAAATGTGCATGTGTACACAGGGCAGGGGTGTCTCTTCTGACCCACTCATGACATCAAAGCTCCCCTCTGTCTATGGTTCAGAGTCAGTGTGCACACCTCCCACATCCACACCCCTACACCTTTAGGTACATGGATTTACCTGCAGCTAAACCTCTACAGCTTTACCTATACATGTACCTCTGTCTACAGAACTACATTGATGTTTGTGTGCAGACAGAAACATACATTCATATATATGTGTGAAATAACAAATACATATGTGTCTCTGTGTATATACACACACATGTACTATCTGTCTAGGATAGATATACACCTTTACCTGCATCTGCATTTATGTATAAATATATGAAAATTACAAGTACATGTCTGTCTGTGTACACATACACAAAGATCAATACACCTATATAGCCATACAGAGATACAGAGATGTGTAGATACACCTACACATGCATGTGTATGCATGAGCATATATTCAGATTAAAAACATACATCTATGTGTATTCTTACATGCATGTGTATATACATATATGTATGTGTATATATGTATATCTACATATATGTATTTACCTCTGTAAATATAGATATATACATCCATACCATGTATAGATCTATCCTATTTACATATATGTTATCTACCCATACCTGTGTCTACACACACACACACACTCACAAGTATATATGTACACAAACATCTATTAAAACCACAAATACATTATATAGACCTGTATAATATACAGGTGTGGATACACAGGTACACACCCACATAGCAGTACCTAAATCAGTATTTATAGCTGTGTATGCTCACCTAAAGATATATATGCACACATATAGATCTAAAACAGTTCTGTGTATGTCTACACATGTGGACATAGATCTACACATGCTGTATATGAAGAGGTACATGTGTGGGGGTGATGTAGACATGTGCACCATGCAGAGGTTACAGTATCTGTGTAGATACACACGATATTATCATGTCTGTCCGTGGCCATGTGTGCATGTCCCTGTGTCTCCATGTGCACATGTGTGTGTAGATGTGTGTGTCTGTGGACATGTGTGTGTCTGTGGACATGTGCAGAACAACAGGGGTACCAAGACCATGGCCAGGCCCCCCCCGAGGCTGCCCCACCATCCCTTCCCCTGCCAGACTCCACTGCGTCCTTCCCAAAGGATTTATTAAAACACAGAACAGAAACCGGGACACACAGAGCACGAAGCGGATGCAGGGGCGTTGCTTATGGCTGCCGGTGTCACCACGCTCGAGGCGTCCCCATCCCAGTTCCAGCTGTCCCCTCTGTCCCACCCACATCCCCTCCATCTGCCTGCCCCAAGCCCGGCACATGTGGACCCCCAGCCACACCACAGCAGTGCCAGGGATTCCAGCAGGGCAGCAACGGGCGTGGGCTCGCTCAAACACCACCAGGACGAAGAGACGGCCCTTAGGGGGAAGCTGGGGAGCACAGCCGGCTGGGACATGGCACCACTGGCCTCCACTCACCCCTACACCTGCCAACACAACCAGACAAACACCGCAACTCCAGCCCGCCCTCCCTCCCTCCCTCCCCTCAGCCCACCTTGCCCAGACAAACTCTTCAAGTCTTCAATAAGAAAGTGCAAAAAATGTACACGGACACAAACCCCCAGCCCCGCCGCTCCCACGGGGGCTGCAGCAGGCAAAGCACACTTGAAGCGGGAGCGGGACAGCGCGGCAGTGCCGGCAGCAGCTTGTCTTCCACACAGGCAATGCTGGCACAATTTCCCTGCCGACCTCTGGCAACAGCAGCTCGTGGCCAGGGACAGGGGCCTGTCCCCCAGGGCTGCTGTGAGAAGAGAGGAGGGCTGTCCATAAGCCAGATCTGGGCCCTCCCCACATGCCAAGCCCACCTGGGGGATCTGCTCCCACCTCCACTGAGGCAGAGGCCAGAGTCAGATACTGTAGGCACTGGGGGGACAGCCCAAAATGGAGCTTCCATTTAGCTCCCCACTCCTTCATGTTCCCCAGCAAACAGAGCCCAGAGGGAAGAAAGCACAGCCTTACCTCAGCTAGGAGTGGGAGCTGCAGGGGGAAATCATGGGAACTGCTAAATATCTGTGGTGACAGAGGAAACACCTTGCTCACAACTGTCCTTTGGCGGCACTCCTGGACCACCCAAATCCACCCTCTGAATTTCTCTGCCCCAGAGCAAAACCCCAACCTACCAGTCACATAGGGTCCCAGAGGCATCTGGCTGTAGTTGACAATCCCACCTGGCCCCGGACCACGGAAACTTGGCCCAAAATTGTTGTTGAAGATCGGAGCAGAGCCAAAGGAGCCCTGGGGAGGCAAGGAGGGAGAAAAGACATTGGCCTGTAGCCCTGACCTGACCATGACCCTGACAGTGAGGGCTCTGTGCCTGTCCCCACAGACCTGGGCAGCTGGATCCCCTCCACGGGTGGCCAGGCGGCTGAGGATGCTCCGCTCTGACATCTGCAGCCGGGCAGCCACAGGCGGGATGCGTGACAGCATGGAGGGCAAGCGTGTCACATCAGCCTTCATGTCACTCAGCAGCTCCTCAAGCTGGTTCAGCACTGCGAGTAAAGCAGAAGGTACTTGGAATGCCTGCCAGACCCAGCAAGCTGAGAGGAGCAGGCAGCTCCTGGCTGAGAGAACACAAGATGGGGACACCTGGCTTGGCTCCCCAGGTGAGGGTGGGGAACCCTTCCTAGCCTCAGAGCAGGCTCACCCAGCCCTGCAGGCACGCACCCTTGTGCAGGACAGCGTTGGCAGGCTTGTTCCCAGCCAGGGACTCTTTGGAGAGGTGCTGGTGGCTCTCAGCAAGGCACTCCACTTCTGCCAGCCGTGCGTTCAGTGCCATGGCCGGGTGACTGGGGTCTTGGGTCATGTTGAGGTACGCCGCCCTCCTCAGCTGCTCCTCGATCACCAGGGCCTGCTCCAGCAACTGGGAAGTGCAGGAGAGGAAAGATTAAGGACCAGACCCTGCCTCACTATAAACCAGTAAACCTCGGATCTCACAAAGTCCACTCCCCACTTCGTTCACAGAAGTTGCTGGCAAACTCCCCCCTGGCTTCAGGGTGCTGCTCTGGTCCTCCCACCGACAAGGACTCACCAGCCCTGGACCTGCCACTTGCCTTAAAACGCCGAGCAAGGAACTTGTTCTTCATCTCGAGGTAGTTCCCCTTGTGTATCTCTGACTTGAAGGGCTCGTTCAGGATCACATAGCGTGGGTCGTTCTGGATGTCCTGCCAGCGGGCATAGCCATGACTGGTAAGGGAGAAGTGTCAAGGGCAGAACCAGCCAGCCAACAGCCTGCCCACAACCCCACAGCGACACCGAGGCCCTAAACCCTCTCCCTACTCATCACTGCAGCACTAGCCCAGCTCCCACACCCCCAGAGAAGCCTCTCTCGCCTCGCTGCCTCCCGCTCTGCCAGGTCAAAGGGTACGTGACAATTCCTGCCAACAGCCAGTAGTCATGTCGGCGGTGCCAGATGTCGTAGATCTTGCCTGAGGACATGGCAGCCCTCTCCTCATTCTG